CCAGAGCTGCACACCACACCCTTCACACTGGACAGAGCCTGGCTTCAGTGCATCTGCATGTCAACAAAATCAAGAATGGGCTTCTGTGCCATAAACTACTGTATCCATCTGTAAGAGACCAGGGCAAACCTATCCTCTCTACTCAAAGTGAAGTACTAGCTGGTCACAGCCTTCTCATTCGCAAGGGGAAGGATGCCATTTTATTGGTTGAGTGCCTACTTTGTGCCAGGCACTATACTAGGCTCTGGGAAACAGGAAAAAGACCACCTTTGCACCCACAGACTATCCAATGGGAGCAGAGAAGACCAACGGGCCCTCAGGCTAATGCAGTGAAGTGTGCTGTGGGCTTTGATGGGAGACACTCGGGATGCTGTGAGAGGGTTGGCATCTCCTGAGATGCAGCCACATCTAGGGGAGGCTGTGGTTTGAGTATGGGTATATTCCATAGAGGCCCACGTGTTAAGGCTTGGTCCCCAGGATGGTGCTACTGGGAGGTGGTAGACTCTGTAGGTGGTGGCACCTTGTGAGGAATCCTTAGGCCATTGAGGTTGTGTCTTCAGAAGGAATTGTGGGACTCCACCAGCCCTCTCACTCTCTGCTTCCCGACACATGATGCAAACTGTGTGCTCCACTACTTGTTTCTGCCACAATATGTCGCTATCTGTCCCCAGAGGCCTAAAGGTATGGATGAGAACCTCCACAGCTAGAAGGAAAACTAATATTTTCTCTTTACAAGTAGTATTGTCTCGGGAATTTCATTATCGTGATAGAAAGTTGACTAAAGCAAGGAGTGAGGAAGAGGCTATGCCTAACGGCAACATCCTTCACTGCCTGAATCTAGAAGGTCAAGGAAAGGAAGCCAAAAGCAAATTCTAAAATAGTCTAGCATTGGGGTCTTGGCTGTTTCGTGGCTGTATAGGTAAGAAGTCTCAAGAGCAATCCTTTCCTGGAATGTCAGACCTTAAAGCGGATGCCACTTTTGTAACGAGACTGTATCAGTCACTTCTCTGTTGCTGTGATAGAAACATTGACCAAAGCAACTTATAGAAAGAAGAGTTTAGTTTATGGTTCCAAAGGCGCACAAGTCCATCATGGCGGGGAGGGGAGGTGGCAGAGGTGGCTGAAGGGGGAGTGGAAGCTAAGTTCTCACATCTTCAGGCAGGCACAGGAAGCAAGAGAGGGACTGGAGACCCAGCAAGGCTTAAGAACGCTCTCAGCCCGTCCCTTTGACGTGCTTCCTCAGGCATGGCCACACCTTCTAAGACCTCCCAAAACAGTGCCTCCAACTGGGGACAAAATGTTCAAATACTTGGAATTTATGGGGGATGTTCTCATTCAAACCACCACAGACTGCTTTGTTGATTCCATTTATAGTATTTTTGACTTTATAGTAGTGTAAAAGTATACCACATTTTCTAAACAGACTATACACTCAGTAGATCCCATACTTCAAATTCTGAATTTTGATCTACTTCAAGGTAGTGATCTATGGTGTGATAGTCTCTTACAGTGCTGGGCAGTGGCAGCAAGTCACAGCTCTAGGTCAGGGACTTGATCACAAAGGAAAATAAAAAACTGCCACAGCACACTGTTGCCAATGGCTTTTGGACACAGACATTCAATAAAATCTGTGAGTTATTCAACACTGTGTTATAGAAGACGCTTTGTGTCCGATGACTATGTTTAACTATATGCTAATGTGAGTCTTCTGGGCATATTTAAAGTATGCTAGGGAAGCCATGATGCCTGCTTGGTTATAGGTGTATCTGCTACATTTTTAAAAACACAAAGAAGTTCCAATGTGTGATGCTTTATTGGAATATAGCCCCAAGTGGAACAGCATTCATGCAGCCCTCTCAGTTTGTAAAGAGTTGGTTTGTAGCACTGTGTTATTAAGAATGGGCTCCTGGTGGGTTGGCGTAAGAAGACCGGGTAGGCCCAAAGAAGCAGGCAGGGGTCTCTATGGGCAGCCTGACTGGATACTAAGTTCTAGAGAGAAGTCCTAGACTTCCTTTACCTGCATGCTGCTGAACGGATAATGAAGGGACTTACAGGCTACTAAAATGCTTTCTTTCTATTTCATGAGATGAACTGAGACCTTCTACCTCTTCCTAAAGGATGAGGACCCAGAGTCTGTACCTCTCCTCTTCAGCAAAGAACCTAATATCTGTTAAAAAATTTATAGAATCTGAAATGTCCCCCACAGGCTTGAATTTAAACATTCAGACACCAGCACATGGTACTGGGGACTGAATTCATGCTCCCCACATGCTAGGCAAACACTCTGCCACTGAGCTATATCCCAAGGGTTCTTCTCACTGTTTATTTTGAGACAGGTTCTCACTAAGTTTTCTGGGCTCACTGTGAACTTATTCTGTGGCCCAGGCAGGTCCTGAGTTCGTGATTCTCCTGCTTCGTCGTCTGCGTAGCTGGGATTTCAGGCCTATACCTGTGGTACTATTTTGAAGACTGTGGAGGAGGTAGAGCCTAGTTGGGAGAAGCAGATCACTTTGGGAAGGCCTTTGAAGGTCATATGCTTCTGTCTGAAGGAGTCTGAAAATGGTTAAAAGTTGTGAACCAAATAACCTTTGCTCTGCTTCCTGCTGCTGTGATGCGAAGAGTTTGGGTCACATGTTCCCACCACTATGTCTGCCCCACCACGATGGATTAGAACTTCTGGAATTATGAACCAAAAGTAAGCCTTTTCTCTTTAAGTTGATGTCAGGTATTTTGTTGTGGAGATGAGAACGGCAGTTGTGGAGTCACTGCTGCGATAAGCCTGACTGTGTGGTTCTCAAGCCTCTGGAACTGGCTTGCAGGAGAAATTTGAAAGAGTTTGGAAATACAGGCTAGAGAAAAGTGAGGGTGGTATAAGCTCCACTGAATGGTGGCTTCTGAAGGAGTTTAGAACTTCAAAATGCTCATAAAGCTATAGGTGGGATGAGGACCCTGTTGGGAATTGGAACCCAGGTCATTCATGCCACAGCATGACAAAGAACTTGGTTCTATTTAGCCCGTGTTCCCTAAGATTTGAGTGGGGCTGAATTCAAAAGTCCTGGGCTAATGTATTTGTAGAGGAAATTTCAAGATAGCACAGTGGCCAGGCTGTGGCATGGTTATCACTGGCTGGTTTTAGCCAAATTTGCGGTGAGAGCCACTGAGCTCCAATAGCAGAGCAGATGGATTTGGAAAATATTTTGTAAAGGAGTCTGAAAGTAGTTAAAGTCGTGGGCCAAGGGAGGGCGCAGCACTTGTTAAAGAATGTAATACCATTAGAGAGAAGGCGAACACTTTGTCCCGGGACAAAAGGACAGGTGCCTTGAGGGAAAGACTACCTATTGAAAACTCCAGGGTATAACAATGCAAACTCATGTGAAAGACTTACATTTGAGAGTACATAAAACTTAGCATCTAAAGGGCCACCCAGGGAAGTATTTCCCAAGTTCAGCCTCTCTGGTACTCAGAAGCCATGGTAGTCCTAATCCAAGGGGTCCTAGTTATATCTTGTCCACATAGTGCTGCTTTTCCAGACACTCAGAATACACAGCCCATGAAAGCTTGCTACAAGATTCCAGAGAAAAGTTTGAGGCCAGGAAACATATAGCAGGGTTGGGTTCTCTGAACGGAGCCCCCAAGTAGGCTGTAACAGTAAAACCCAAATTACAATGGAGACCTCAGGATGTTGGAAATCCCAAGAACATGTAACAGATGCTGAGGAAATCTGTAGGCAACAAGGCGAGCTGGTTCCCCAAACAGCCCCTGTATATTGCGGGCAGCAAGGCTGTAGGGGGAGGGGCTACCTGAGTCCCTTGAAGCCCAAATGATGTCACCAAGTGCCCCATAGGCTGGACATGGCACTGCAGGGTTTACTGCTTGCCCCAGTTAGCTTTGATCTTTCCTTACAACCCCTTCCATTCCTCTCTCTCTATTGAAAAGACATAACTTTCTTTTTAAATAGGAGTTCTGTGTTAAACATTTGCCTCAAGTCTAAGAAGAAACTTAAACTCTTGTGACTAAGGTAATTTTTAAAACTTGATAGAATGCATTTTGTATTACAACATGGCTATGAGTTTTGTGGGTGGGGCAGGGGCAGGGTATTTGAGGTTGAATTTGAAATGTCCCCCAAAGGCTCATCATTTGGTTCCTTGGTCCCCAGCTTGTGGCTCTGTTTTGAAGACTGTGGAACCTTTAGGAGGTGGGCCAGATTATGGAAGTCAGACACTGGGGGCAGGTCTTTGGGGGGGTCTACACACTTCTGGTACCAACTTGTTTGCTCTGCTCCCTGTTTACTGTAGTGATACAGGGAGCACAGGCCTGTTCCTGAAGTCATGAACTCCACTATACCTCCCCTGTCATGATGGTCTAGAACTTTCAAAACCGTGAGCCAAAACTTTCCTCCTTTGAGTTGCTTCCATCAGGTCATTGTCACAGAAATAAGAACAATAATGAATACAACACCCCTCCCCCACTCGGACTAGGAGACTTAAAGTCATTGTGAAAGCTGACTGGTGGGTCGCCATGCTTACTGGTCATTCTCCTACAAGGAACAGTTACCAAATTCTTCTAGAAGCAGAAAGTTAGTCCTTAATCAGACTAATACCAGGCCAAGGCATGCACATGTGTTTTCTCCTTTATACTTCATTCCTAAAGACTGTGTGTGGAAGAAACAGTGCTGGCCCATCCACTCAGACACTACGGCTGTCATTTCAATTGTCTCATCATCAGATAGCCTTGTACTCGCCTGTGAGCAAAACTCGCCTGGACAGTATTAGTTCTCTAGCTCCACAAGTAGAATGTCCCCTGTCCACAAGGAGGGAAGAAAGTTCTAGTCTTCCCAACATCTGTCCCTGTGCTCTTTCTTGTCAGGGCTGAAACTGTGCCTCTTCCCAAAGGCAGCCCTCAGAAGCAGCTCTTCCTACAGTATCCTTCCCCTCCAAAAAATGATCCATGTTTTCATTTTCTAGTAGTTTACTTGTGTCTTTTCCCACAGCATGAAAAGATGAGGGTGCTCCGCTGACCATTTCATAGCGCCAGAAAAATGCAGAAACTATCCTGACATACAAATTTAATTGATTGCTTTCCTTCCACTGGGCCCTGGGATCCGCTCAAATAGTTCATAGCTGTGTGCTGCTGAGAGACCTGGAGCTCCCCAGACTGCTCTGGTGGGACTGGCCAGCTTTGCAGGAACAAAGATCGACTGCAACAATAGGAACATCCAGAAATTTTCACTTGAGGACCCATGTTCATAAGATTGTAAAGAAAGGGATACAAGCGACAAGTGGGGGACAGGGAGGTTGTTGACTTCCAGAACATCAGGTCAGACCAACACACAGCACAGCCACTGCAAAAGAAGAAGTGAGTTTAGTGCACAGCTTTAGGGAGTGTGTTGGCCACAGACATCCTCCTGTACCATATAGCATCACTTTTCACATCTCCATCCTCCACCAAGTAGCTCACTCAATCACAGGAAGCAAGGAAGCCCCTAGCAAAGTCACTAGCTCATAAGTCAGAGCACCAGAGAAAATGTGACTTGAAAAAAATTATAGACCTAAAAGAGGCTTCCAAAAATGGGTGAGTCTACACGTACAGCTGATCCTCTCTATCTGCAAGCTCCACATCCACAGATTCAACAAAGTACAGATTGAAAATTTTCAGAAGAAATAATTGCATCTGTATTGACTATGAACAGATCTTTGTCATTTGTTCCCTAAACAATAAAGTAGAACAACTACTTATATAACATTAACATTATATTAAGCACTGTATATGGTTTAGAGATAATTTGGAGTATACAAAAGGATGTCTGTAGGTTCCATGCAGACAGTGTATCATTTTATACAAGGTACTTGAGCATCTCTGGAGTCAAGGATGGTCCTGGAACCAACCACCCCCACCATGGATAATGAAGGACAATTATATCCTCATGCATACATGTATTGCCATTGATACACATATTCTTACATATGTGTACCTATATTCCAATGTATTTTTCTATATTTTCCCTTATATGTGCTGTGTTGGTTAGTTTTTGTCAACTTGATACAAACTGGAGACACCTGGAAAGAGGGACTCTCAATTGAAGAATTCCCTCCATCAGATCGGCCTGTGGGCATGTGTAAGAGGTATTTTCTCATTTGCTAATTGGTGCAAGAGACCCCAGACCTCTGTGGGCAGTGCCATCCCTGGGCTGGTGTTCCTGGGCTGTATAAAAAAGGTAGCTGAACAAGCCAGGGAAACAAGCCAGTAAGCAGCATTCCTCCATGGTCTCTGCTTCAGTTCCTGCTGCCAGGTTCCTGCCCTGACTTCCCTCAGTGTTGGACTGTGAACCAGGAGTTATAAGATGAATTTAAACAATTTTCCCTTCCAAGTTGCTTTTGGTCAGTGTTTCATTGCAGCAACAGAAAGCTAACTAGAACATGTGTGTACATTCCTACGTTTGTACCCATATCTCACATACATGTGTATATATATATATACTCCTATATGTATGTGTATATATTTCTACAAATACACTTCATTTTAGGTCCAGCACTAGTATCCATATGTCTCCATGAATCTATAGGTATGTTCCTAAGATTTTTTCCTAGATCACAGGAAATGATGAATAATATTTCCATTTCAGAAAAGAACAGAAATTGGTTGGGCCCCCAACATGGCAGAGCCAGTAATAACTTGGACCTCTAGCTCTGCTGCCTCAGAAGCAGGTCAAAGGCCAACACCTCCTCACTAACTTGGACACTTGGGCCATGTCCACACCTCCTGTTTCTCTCGATCCCAGCCAGTGATAGCCCTAGCTGTCCAGAGCGTGGCCCTCCATAGGCAGTAACTGTGATACTCTATGCCTAAAGCATGATGTGACCTGTGCACTGTAAAAGCACTCATTTATTTTGCACCTTCATTCTACATTGTTGCAGTTGCAGTTTGGGTTTCCAGTGTCCCTCTATATGTCAACTTAGAAGTCCCAGAAGTCAGACATTTCAAGCTGCATCAACCCCCACAGTTTCATCTAATTTGGCAAAATTTTGCATCTTTGAAATGATTTGGAACACAGCTAGAGCTTTATCTTTAAGATAATAATTTCTGGTTGATTAAAATGTTTGACAGACTGTTTAAGAGACCATCACATGCCTTCTCCCCATGCACAGAACATGCATGGAATTCCCACTGTAATAAATTGATCCACAGGAGGAAACACAACCTAGTACCTATACTGTCCAAGAATTTCAAAGTACTATCTATAAGGAGTTCATCAAGCCTTGGGTCATTTACCTCAGCCAGAGAGAGCTGGACAATGCCATTCCCGTCTTTATCCAAAAGCCTGAACAGCTCTGAAACAGTAGAGGAGAAAGGGAATTAGTGAGGTATGTTCCTGGGTTTTGAAACATCAGAAAGTCCACCCCAAGTCAAACTGCAACCTTTCTCTTTCCTCCTCTACTCTCTATACTCCAGATCTCATCTAACCCCAGTCTAGCACTCAGGTTAGAACTTTCGTGGCAGCAAATGCCCCCCCAACAAAATGGATGAACCCAGTTGTCAGTAGAGATGGACGTTCCTTCAGATATCCACCTTCAGAAGTCTCATGCCAGAAATGTGCAGTTCTGTTAGCAAGTGCTGTGGGGATAACCCAGTCCCTTGACTCTGTCTGACCAATAACTTTGCCTCTAAGACTTTCCAACTTGTACTCTCCTAGTGGAAGGAAATTCCCTTTCCTTAATAAGATAACTCCCAAGGTCCAAGGTGGAAGGAGAACACCTGTTAATTTCTAGAGCGGGCCCGCCCCTTCCCTGGAAGATGACAGAGCCTCTCAAAAGACCATCATGATGGCATAAATGTGAATAGACCCCAAAAGCTCATAATGCAGGATCCTTAGGGGACTCCTGAACCTTGACCTAGTGACTGCACATAGCTCAGTAATCAGGGTGGCAGCTTTCCAGGTCTCTGCCCTTGGGGGTGGCTAATGCAGACATCCTTAGCCCCTTAACTGTCTGCTTTCCCTTGTCCCCCGAGTGTCAACAGTTATAATAATCTCATCCATAGTTTCTTAGACCGCTGGCTCCAAAGGCAATGTCAGGCCTTGCCTCCTGGCCCTGTCTCCACAATGCCCTGTGTCTCTGGAGAAAAGGAGTGGAACTAATAAAACAGCAGCTCACTGAAGAGGGTCTCCAGGCGGATCATACAAGCCACAAAGCCGTCAAAGTCAATGCCGAGCTTGCTGCAGGCATACCGCATAGCAATGGTCTGCTGCAGCTCGTTGTTGAGGGTAAAACCTAGGGGCAGAGAGGAACTGGGTCACAGGTGGCAAAGGGCTCACCACTGTACCTGATAAAACTTCAAGGGGTTGACGTCTCAGGGACCTTCCATGAGTCTATGTAAATCTGCAAACCAGGCCCACGCTGCCTCCCTGGGGAGTCCTAGGAGATGTCCTGCCAATAAGTCTCTCCTCTTTTAGGTATACCTCACCAGCCTCTTCCCTGGCCCAACCAGCTCAGCCCTAGCTCAGCCAAGGGTACACGGTTATAGCAAGTTAACATCGGAGAAGGTGAAGGGCTGTGAGTCTGCAGGCCCCTGCAGCCTTCTGCCCTGTAACTGCTCCCACTGTCTCAGTAACAGAGTGCTAGATCAACTCAGAATATGCTCTGCTATGTAGAACCCAGCAGCACGCTCTCCTTCTTGGATAGGAAGAGTCCTCAGCAAGGATTCACTGTCACATTGGCATCAAATGTGAGAAAACTCTCAGGGATAATCACTAGCAACCATCATGAGAACGATTGTTTACAATGGGAACATATGGGTCCTAAGGGCTTCATCTACAGTACGGGTCCTCACCTGCCTTCTTGAGGGCTGTTCTCATCTCGTGGGCATCAATGGTCCCTACGTGATTGTAATCCATTTCCTGATAGATCTCCTAAAGCCAGAAAGAAATTTCACATGGAGAGCAGAAATGCCCTGTGCAACAATTTCCCTCTGTTCTCCTCTTGTGGAAGGCCAGGGAGGCACTCAAAAGAGACCACGCTGACTCCTCTAAGGAAAGTTCCAGAGCAAAAAGAAATATTTGGACTAAGGGCCAGTGAAGGTAAGCAATTATCTTCTGAATGGGGTTTTTAGACAGGGGTCAACACCAGCATCTCTTACTGCCTTCTGACTCTTTCTGAACAAGTCCAGGTTTGGATGGTTTTGACCAGGGTCTGGTCAGACTAGAATCAAAACCATCTCAGGAATAATGTTATAGAAGGTTAGAATGGAGGGAAGGAGCTGGGTCCCAGAGGAATACCCTTCTGTTCCAAGACCAAGAGAAGACTTAGTTACCAGGTACTTCCCAATCTTCAACCAGAGTGTCTTGAACTCCAGTGGTCCCAAGGTGCCAGTTCCATTGCTCTAAGCATGTTAAAGGCCATTGTGATCAAATGCCAGAGCAGCATGCTTTATGAGTTTCTTTGTCTTATGTTTTCAAGAGTGTTTTAAAACCTTAGTGAATCTTCCATGTCGGCAGCAAGCCAAACAACAGGGATGCTGGTGGGAAGGAGCATCATGAGCCAAAATAAACCTTTCCTTTTTATAAGCTGGTCATCCCAGGTATTTTGTTAAAGTGGTGGAAAGCTGACTAACATGCTCACCCTTTAGAAATTCTTGGCTACCGTATTTCTGATTAGCATTGAGTATTGATGGCACCACAACCTTCATACCTTTACTAATAACACAACAATCTCAGCACAGGAAGCTAATACCCCTAGTCTAGGTGCTTTCTATACTTGCATCTCATTTCATCCTCACAACAGATGCACAAACGATATTCTTATCCCATTTTCCAGAAGAAACTGACATGCCAAGCATTTAGTGGCACCTCTAAATGTAGATACTTGATAGATAGTAGAGACAGAACACCAGTAGTTCTCAGGTCCAGATGGAAAAGCCTGCAAAGACCAGACCCATGGAAGCAGCATCTCCAGGACCAAAATTCAGGCAACATTATTTTCAAGTCTTCATGGTAAGAAAGTACTGACATGTGCTGTGGGACTGAAACATGTGCTACAGAAAGGATCACATGATGTGGGATTCCACTGACACCAGTGCCCATAAGTGGCAAATTTATAGAGGTAGGAAGTATTTGGCTGCCAAGAAATAGGGAAGGTAAAGATGATGGCTAATATAAATACAGGATTTCTTTCTGGGGTGATAAAAATGTTCTATATCTTGTGTTGATGACTGCACAACCTGGAATCCAACAAAAGCCATTGAATTAGCTGTACATTGTAACTAGGCACATTTTATAACATATGAAGTCCATCTTAATAAATCCGCTATTTTTAAAGTCTGCATGGGCATTTCTACTGCACACCAAGATTCAGAATTACTTTCCCAAGAAGACAGAGTCAAGGTCCCCTTGGAAGCTGCACAGTACCACTAGGAGCTGTGGGCAGTGACTGCAACAAAATCCTTGAATCTGGACTGAAATCAACAGCAAGGCTTGATGAGAATGATTCTGAGACCAAGGAACTATTTTCAGTAAAGTGAATGAAAGTTAGTTTTCTGTGGCCCACAAATTGAACTGCTAGCCACTGACACTCATAGAAGGACAGGCAGACAGCACAAATCCTGCCTGCTCAGGGAGTCCTATTCAGGAAGTGGCCACTTAGGGCTCTGGGTCATTAGACAGCACCACCTATCCATCGCTGGTAACTCAAACAGCGGAGGCACACATTCCATTACCCATGACCCTCTGCACAAAGTTTTTAGTGTGCAAAGGTAAACCACTCTTCCTGTCTGTCCTGGAGCTAGTGAAGGAGTTCTGCAAAAAAGTTGTCAGATCTCATTATGGGCGAGATCCTAGAAACTAAGGAGGGCCTCTAGGCTAAAGAACTCACTTTCACCACCTGGATCTGTTCCAGGCAAAGCTTAAGGAAATAGTGTTGGGCCCCTAAATCCATGTGTTAAAACTTAATCCTAGTGTGAGGGTATTCAGAGGAAGGGCCTCTGGGAAGTAACTAGGTCATGAAGGTGGATTCTTCATGAATAGAATGTTGCCATTAAAAAGTAATTCCAGAGAATTCCCCTTCCACCTTGTGAAGTAACAGCCCATGAACCAGGAAACAAACACAAAATCTGCCCACACCTTGATCCTGGGTTTCCCAGTCTCCTAAACTGTAAGAAACTTCCATTGCTTATAAACAATCTAGTTTATGGTATTCTGTATAGTACAGTGGCAAACTAAAAAGATCATTCTTCAAAAGGAGATGAGGTTGTATTAGATCAGAGAGAACAGATGGGTTTTATCTTACATCGTAATTCTAAACTATTGGTAGTGGCTGTCAAACAGCCATACTAAGATTCTGAAACAAAGATGAGATGGTGGTGGGGAGAGCCAAGGACAGCCTAGGACTGAGGACCGATAGTAGGGTGGATTTCAGGAGGTGGGTTGCTGTGATCAACAGTGTGTAGAGGGAGGAGGAGATGCGTAAGTGCCGTACACTTGCTTTCACTAAGTTCCAAGATTTAAGACAAGCCCTCAGACATGATTACCTTGTCCTCTCACCTATAAGCGGGGGAGGGTAATCCCAAGCTTCCTGAGGAACATCAACAAAATGGTACCTTTTCCTTTAGAGCTCAAACGCACTCTCTGGCACGTGCTCAATAAATGCTCATTTTCTCTCTGCCCCCCTTTCTTATGGGAAAAGGTGGAGGAGTCTTTAAAATCAGTAAAAAATGATGTGACATTTAAAGGATACATCCAACAGGCTGATCATTTCTCTGCAAGTGTTGATGTTGAATCCTTCAAATTTTACGTCTGTTCCTAAATATTTAAAAAGAAAAGAAGGTGGGAGTCAGGATTGTTTGAAGACAGAGGAAATAAATGATCCACATAGTACAAGACTACAAAAAGAACATGTTCTCCATGAAAAAGGAAAGAGCATCGTGGGGGGCTTACAACAGATACCCCCAGCCTCCTGGTGCTTAGATTTAGTGTTGACCAATATTGGCTTTGGGGTTCAACCTCTAAACCGCAGCTTTGTTATTCACAGATTAATGTTTCTGAGCATTCATTTTTCCTCCATCAAGTAGAAATACAACAATAGCGATAATGATAATGTTTGTCCAAAGGTCTGCTTGAGTATTGAGATAATATAAGTGAAGCATGGAAAGTTCTTAATGAGACAGCTAAGTGTTTGTTACCGAGACATTGGTATAAGCCCTGCATGCCTGTTCTTTAGACTAGGTTCACCTGTCATACGCTATCATTGTCTCCATTTCATAAACAAGGAACCTGAAGCCTGGAGACCTTATATTGTTTGCTCGAAGTCATACAACCAGTAGGGAACAGAGCTGGGATTTAAACACAAGCCCTCTGGGTCCAGAGTCACAACACACAGTAGCTCAATGAAGCTGCCATTGCTAAGACACAGGCATCTCTCTTGACCTCCAGTCATCCCTCCCTTCCACCTTCACCTTTCCCAGACCTGGGAATCCATACAGGTGCCAAAGACCCCACAGCCCTCTCTTCTGAGCCACAGCAGGAGCAAGGGCAGAGGGTAGAAGGGCTGTCCTGAGGCAGAGTGGGACACTGAGCCTGGGATACTGCTCAGCCCTGTGCCCATCCCCGGGAAGGGCCCCTCGTGGTCATTCCACTTAGCATCTGTTCCTTGCATTCTCACACCCCGTCCATGCAAACGGTGGCAAGAGCCCATCACCCGAACAGCTGGAGGACTTAACCCTGCCCATCCCTGGACCAGAACAGAAAGTAGCTCCATGCTGGTTCCAATGGCACTGAGATTTGAAGAGTGGGGGATGCAAGCCCCTTCTCAGAGGCCAGTTTGAATGACACTCAGGCAGCGCCTAAGGGCTTGCAGGAGTCAGAGGCTTTGCTGAACTGTGTACAGACAGAAAAGTCAGAATCATCTGGCCGCTGACTTCCTCGAAGAAGCACTGTAGATCTTTACAGAAATTTCCTCAGTATCGACAATATTAATTTTGTGGAAAAGTGTCACATAAATCTTTATTCCTCTTAGGACACAGCATCCAATTGCATTTGATGTCACAGATTCTTGGTCATTCAGGGCCTGGCTACCTACCAGAGTGGGTCTCATCTCTCCCAATACCTCCTCCTCAACAGCTTCTCCTGCCTCCCTCTAGACAGAGTCAGGAGCTTCTAAGGTCAGAAATCTGAACCACCCTCTCCTCCCTGTGGTACTTCTGACCAACTTCTGCCTGCCCCTCCCTCATCCCCACCTGGCATCTCTCTTGGATGTCCATGGACCTTCTGAGAGTCCCCAAGGGAGAACTTACGTTTAGAAAACACCCCATTCAAAATCATCTTGAGCTCATTGGCACCAATCTCAGAATCCTAGAAAGAAGCAGCCAAATGTGAATTATGTTAGCCCTGACAACCTGTTTTATAATGTTCGGTTACACAGAGCTGCCTCCACAGTCCAATTCCAGACCTACAGCCTTATGACTTGAAAAGCATGTGACATCTTTAGAAACTCAAATTCTCCATTCCCTCTGGGGTCCCAACAGCCTGGTAGGGCACCATGGAGTTAGTAGGGCCAAGAGGGACATGTTGATGGTATAAGCTTGGTACCCAGCTCCACAGAAGACTGCCAGCCCATCTCCTGCTGTGTTTCATGAGGCTTGCTTGCTCAGAAAACAGAGGGTGACAAGTAGCAACAGAGGGAGCTAGCAGAGATATACCACATATACCACACGCCCAATGTGCAGTAGTGTTAAATCTTTCGCAAAACTACATCTATGTTACAGTTAAAGAACAGTGACTGTGGAAACTGCCAATCACCACACACACACACACACACACACACACACACACACACACACACACGATGTCATGTATTACTTGCCTGTGTTTTAATGGCTTGGGATGCACAGCTACAAAGTGCCTGATTTTCCACTTAGGAGAGTTTCTGTTCCATGGATGGAACACATGGAATGGAATCCACACATGGATTCAGGCAATGAGAGATCCCGTATGTATTTGGTGTGAACACTAAGCCAGATGGAAGATTCATGCCTTAACTCTCACATGGAAGATAGCCTCAGGTAGGACAAGGAACAAGGGGCAGAGTGGGAACAGTGGGCCAAGGGCTTGGCTTTCATCTGGACTCTGTCAGTTACTCATTGTGACCTTAGCCCAGTCACTTCTGGTCCTCCCATTCTCCCCCAGCCAGGCCCTAGCACTGGAAAGGACAGACCAAAACTGCACAAAGCAGTGTCTCCTCTGGCCTAACTGGGGCAGAGGACGGTCGATTCTGAGCATAACACCAAGACTTCTGTGTAGTACCTCCATGTAGAAAAGCCCATTCACCTACCAGGAAAGAAATGGGTGTTCAGAGTCTATATTAGACCTTGGTCATGACCCTCATGAGGCCCTGTGACTTTGGCCAGTCCCTTAACCTGCATGTGTCATGTGTCAGTTCACTAGCAGAGGTAGGCTGGTGACCCGTGTACCACCATCCCCTCTCCACTGCCCCTCAACAAAAGAGAGAAATAAGATAACTTCAGAAGAATTCTACAAGTAGCAATGCTTCTTTTCTAGCGTTCTGGATGTGCTAAATAAAATATGTCCCCTTGGCAGCTATGGAAACGAGCTTCTGTTAGGAAAAGTAGTGGTCTGAGCATCCATGTAAAGCAAACTGATGCATTTTGTGAGCATCCTCTTCAATTGCAGCAAGGAGAGACTGCTCATAGGTTTGCTTTGTTGAAAAGGTTTCTGCTGTACTTTGGCTCTTTCTATCTTTTCTATTTTCTGTTTCATTGAGAACCCCATACAATGTACTTGGAGCATATTCACTCCCCTTTCCCAACCCCCCTTCCCTACCCACTCGACTTTGTGTCCTCATTTTTTTTAAAAAAAAAAAAAACCTATCAAGTTGAACTTGTGCTGCCTGTGTACTCTAGGGTGTGTGGCAATCCACTAGAGTGTGGTCAACCTACCAGGGGACACACCTGTAAAGAAACTGACTGTATCACACCCCCACCTCCAAAGGCCAGGGATCTTTGCAGAAGAGGAGCTGGAAAGACCATAAGAGCCAGAAGCCATGATTGACTACAAGGAAAATATTTTCTGGACACAACAGGGCAGTTGCACATGTGAAATCAGAGCAATTGTGACATGCACAAGACCCATGCAAGTAAAATCCCAGAGTAGCGGGGAGGGGTGGGCGTTAAGTCCCAGCCTTATCTGAGGATCTATTGGCAACTGATAGTTGCTATGAAGGCAAGTCAGTTCCCTCTCCCTCTCCCTCTCCCTCTCCCTCTCCTTCAGCCTCCCAAATAGCTGGGATGGCAGGCCACAGTGCCAGGCTTCCATTCCATTCTTCAGTCTAGAAAGTCTCTCAGAGCTTTGGTGGGGGAGGTGAGGTGGAGAACACTGCTGTCCCCTTTTGGGGGTCTTTTTGGCGCTTTATTACCCTACAAGGAGCAGCATCAATCACTCTTCATGGGGTCAGTGGGGGACACATTAAGTCCTGGGTAAACTCTGACTTATGGTCTCCAAATGACTGGACAGGATAGGAGGAGAAGAAGCCAGAGACAGTTCCAAATGTCCTGATCACAGTCACACTCATGTACACACCCAAGACAGGTTTAGATTCCACTGGGCAACTGCTGCTGGCCTCCCAGGGCAGCAGGCTGGGCTGTGTCTCCAATCAGGCCAGGTTAACTGATCTGCCTTCTGCTGAGGCTGGGCAATTCCAGTCTCTGAGAGCTATCGATTTAGAGAGGTCACACTGCCCTGGCTCTCTAGTCAGAGGCCCCATCTGACAGGACCAATTTACAAACAGAAAGGCTTTTGGCAAGACCCAAAGATTGGGCTTTTCTATTTTCTAAAGTCAGTCAACACAAGACGAAAAGTGGCTTCTGGACAATGACTACTCTCCCCCGGATGCACAGAAAAGGCCTGCCGGTTTCAGACAGGATGCAGTGACAAGAGACAGACATAAGCTGGGGACCCAGAGTATGCAGCTTTGCCCTCTGTACTCCTGCAATCCAAGGGACTAGAGAGTAGCCTAACCCGAGCACACCACTGCCTGGCCTGGAAGGCATCTGGCCTCCACTCACCTTGCCTGCAAACCCCTCAAGCAGGCTCTGGAAATGCTTGTCTTCTTGATTCGCCTCACAGAGTTGTGGCTAAAAGGGAAGACAGTGGCAAAGTTAAAACAAGCATCCTTGAGTGAAAGACAAAGAATCAAAATTAGTGGTTAGCATCTACTGTGAACCTGTGTTGGGCCAGCTTTGGGTTAAGTGGAGCATATGCTGGTAAGGAAGAAAGCCACCCAAGGTGCCAGCCCAAAAACTTGACAGTCCAGAGGAGCCAGGGGCTCCTCTATGAGCCTTATAATCCCTGAATTATTTTATTTTTAATTATGTGTATATGTGTGTATCTGTGCATGTGAGTGAAGGCACCATGGAGACCAAAGGTAGATGATTCCCTGAAACTGGAGTTATAAGCCCTTGTGAGCTGCCTGATGTGGGTGCTGGGAGCCAAACTCAGGTCCTCTGCAAGAGCAGTATTCCCTCTTAACTGCTGAGCCATGTCTCCAGACCCCACCATAGAATTTCTGGTTTCAGCCCTGAATCACTTTCAGAAAACAACAAAATCAAACCTAAGGAAATCTCAGTTGGAATCTGGGCTGGCCTAAGGAATTCATAGACAGCCTCCATGGACTCTGAACTCCAGAAATTGCAAGAAAAATGTAGGGCTGTGTTTGTATTTGTTTTCCTAGTGTTTTCAGATTCTCAAAAACAAGATTTAAAAAGGAGTTAGGAACACAGCTCAGGAGCTAGAACTAGAAGCCAGAAGACTGGAGCTGAAATACAGGCTGGCCACTTACTGGATCCCATTTCTGCACTCTGAACATCTATTTCCTCAGCACTCATATTAAATTAACTAGGTCTGTTTCATGGGATCATTTTGAAAATCAAAATGAGAACTAATGTGTGTCAAAGTCCTTTGGAAATTACAATTAATTATATGAATGTCTTTGACCATAGGCTTTCAAATGACCGCTGTCACCACCAGACAGAACTGAAAAGACAGTTTCCCAGATGGCCTGAAGAGTTTCCAGAAACTCAAGTTGATTTCTTCCAAACCATTCCTAAGATAAGTGTAAAAGATCCAATGAGGGCTAATGGCACTGTAGTATTTAAGTTACGGTAGGAACAGTATTTGCGTTTGTGAGCACTTTCTGTCTCTGAGGCACCTTAAGTGGATCATTTCACTTAATGAGACTATACTGTGAGGTAGGTCTCACTACTTTACACTTTCATATATGGACGTTTAAAGAGTTAAGTAACATCACAGAAGAGGGGGGAAGAATGACTTAAGAGGCAGAGATCAGGGAGGACTGCTGTGAAGTAGTGTCTCTAGACATGACAGGGCACTGCACTTACAAACTCACAGTGGCTGTGGTTATCTGCACAAGACCTGCACAAGATCAAGTCAGTCAACATTCCAGCATGAAGAGTGGAAGAGATCATGAGACCACATCCTTAACTGAGGAGCTTATGGCAGGTGATGGCTGCTGATGGAGGGAGAGTCTATTTTCTTCAGTGGTTCGGCCCATGGTAGGTTGCCCATACTTCCATGTGCACTAATTGTTCTCAGTGGGTTACAAAAAGAGAAGGAAGAGGAGGAAGAGGAGCAGGAGGAGGAAGAGGAGAAGAAGAGATGAAGTTGGGAGGAGGATGAGGGGGATGAGGAGTCTGGAAGGAGTTAGAAGGATATGAGCTAAATATGTTGTATTCATATATGAAATTACCAAAGAATGTATAATTAAAATAAATAAAAAATAAACACACACACAAATAGAGTTAAGCAACAGGCCCAATCACACAGCTAATAAATAATGGAATCAAGATTTGACTCCATCTCTGCCTTCTCCGCCACCCTCTACTGTAACAACCAGAAATTTCTGAATGAATGAACAAACCATGACTCAAATATTTCTAAGGGAAGAAAACGCACATTCTGGAAGGTAATGATACTTCCTGTTTCCTGCATCCTGTTCTCTGAACCCCTCAGGGCTCTGTCTCCTTACTGCTAACATGAGGCTAATAATCATTAGCAAATCCAAAACTACACATAGATTTTCTAGAAGGGAAATGTGATAAATGCTTATCACACATATAATTTTAAAGTGTTTTTTCAGGAGAGACATTATTTTTCATGTAATATCCTTCACCAAAATCTAGCGACAAGTTCATAAATTCTAGATATGGTATAATATTCTATAACCCAGGGGGTATGAAATTGCATTTAAAAAGACAACAGGGCTGAGCATAGTGGTGCACACATGTGACCCCAGCAATTGGGAGACAGAGGCAGGAGGATTGAGTGCTCTCTTGAGCAGCCTGGGCTACATAGCAAGAGTCTGTCTCAAAAACATACAAACAAGAAGCCAGTATATGGGCATGGGCAAATGCTGTACCTAACAGGCGTTCTGCCAACCAGGCAGAACCATGATATTGGACATGGGAACTTTGGGACACAAGGAATAGGGGTAGTGTGTCCATATAATGACAAATATGGTACCTTGAATTTATTCATTCATTTACCTGGCTAGAAACTGTCCTGGGTCTGTGAGTAGATCTAGTGGTGAATAAGATGTGACCCTTATCTCAAAACTTTGTTACCCTGTTGTCCTGATAGGATGTGTGTGTGGCAGGCCAACAAAGGCAAAGAATGAATCTCTTCTTAATGAATCAGGGGCTAATGACATCTTAACAACCCTGCTCAAAGGCACACACCTGAACCCCAAGAGTGGCTGTTCACCCTGTATTCTCCCCCCTCCCACTCCAAGCAGGCAGTTGAGTCGTTTGAAAATCTAACTGTCCATGACCTGGAGGTTTTGGAGGGAGGATACAGGAGTTCTGCAAAGCAAAGGCTCTACCTAGTTCCTGTAAAGTCCTGAGTTCAACAAAGACATTACCAATGCTGTGTGTGTTATGTGCACTGGTATGGTGTGTGTATACTCTGTGCATGTATGTGGCATGTATATAATATGTATATGATGTGTATAACTGGCATAGGTATGACTATGTACCTGTGTGTCACATGTGTGTATGCCCATATGTATATGTGTGTGGCATATATATGCATGTGTGTGGCATATTGTATATATGTGGTATGTATATATGCATGTGGGGTGGGTGGCATACATACAGTATGTGTATGTATTATGTATGCAGGATATATGTGGTAAGATGGAGCATGTAGTATGCATACATGATGTGTGACTATAGTAAGTATGAGGCCTGTAAAGTGGGTATGTGGGTTTATATAGTATGCCTAAGTGGTGTGTACATATTGGGTGTCATATGTATTGGGCAAGTATGTGGTGACTATGTGGTATATAATATGCATGTATGATATGTGTATGTGGTTATGTCATATGTATGGTGTATGCATAGTATGAATGTGTGGTGTGTTTTATAGTGGTTGTGTGGTGGGGTATTATGTGTGTATAGTATGCATGTATGGCATGTATACATGGTATATGTGTGGAATGTATATGTTGGAACAACGGTCAGAGAGAGAGGGAGTTTCTGTGCACTAACAATATGCTAGAAGTCCACATGGCCTTGGAATCCCAGGCTTCTCATATGGCCCCATTGTCATGCTCTGGGGACCACAGAAGGCTCTCTGCCTAGGGGTTAGCATGTCACCAAGCCAAGTGCAGCTAACCATGAGCTTTAATCAATAAAGGCACCTATGAGCTGAGCACAGGATGGGCAAGGTAGATCCACAGCCAGAAGAGCCTTCCTGCTGCTCTGGGGCTTTAGAAAACCCAGAGACCGTGCATGGGAGGTGGAGACAGGGAGCCCAGTAATGGCCAGGATTGAACTTCTGACAGCCTGGTTCAATGGGAGCTCAAAGCCAATTTTAAGTCATTTCATCAGAAACCAAAACAAGAAAGACAGGTAATTCTTATCACCTGACTTGTAGACTCTATGCTGTCTACACAAGCACACTGTGATTCCTAATGCTCCTGTACCCCACAGTGAGAGATGCCCCTGGGAATGATAAGACCCCTGGGAGTGAGGAGGCTAAACTGGCATCTGCACCTGTGGCTCAGTCACCAAGAGCCAAGCTCAGGAAGGGCCTGGGAGCACAGGCAGGAGGCCTGATGGGCAGTAAGCTTAACACATAGGCTACAGACCCTGGGGAGTAGATAGAGATGAACTGGAGTAAGATGAAACAGATGACAGGGTATGCATTTTCTATCTAGTAATCTCATACCCTAAGCCCCAGGCAAATGCATCCTCAGTCAACATGTTCTCATGTACCTGCAGAAACATGAGCTTACACATTTGATTTATTCCCAATAATAGGGCAGGCCTGCCCTGTCCCCATTCAGTCCAGGATGGCAAGCTCAGCCACTGGAGGGCACTTGGTGTAGCATCTTCAAGAAGATGGTTCAGTCCATTTAGGTAGACAGCAGAAGAGTGCAAGCTGGTTCATGTCATGTGGAGATAGCCCCCACTTCTGGGCCCTGCCCCCATGTCCCAGGCACAGACTCACGGTGGCAACCTCATGGAGCAAAAAGATCTCACACACACACACACACACACACACACACACACACACACACACACATCATGGGAGGAGAAGACAAGAAATTGAAGACATAGGTGAGGTGTAAAAGGAGAGGAGAGTTGGGTGAACTCTTCTGTGTGTGCACAGGTTCACTGTGTGTAGCTACAAATGCATATGTATGATTGTGTGTGTATGGAGGTCAGAGGACAGTCTCATTCCTCAGGCAATGTTAACTTGACTTTTATGCAATGGTGTTAGGACTTGGGGTACTAAGATGGCATACCTCATGCGGGTTTCCAGCTACAGCATCTCCAATTTCCCTGAAACACAGAGGAAGAAATCAGCTAAGCATGAAAAAGTATGAAATTCAGCTAATGGCTCCATTCTTTGAGGAAGATTTTCCTCCTATGGGGAATTGACTTCACATCTAAGATTTTCAGTTCCTGCTAAAAACTGCACAAACTGAAACACTAAAAAAAAAAATCTTTCCCCTTTTACTGCCCCAACTCACAACTCACCCTGAATTTTTCATTAGAGACAAGGACTTCAAGTTCATTTTGTTCTCCCATGAATTCTAGAATGCTGGGCCTGGTGAATTCTGGGAAATTTTCTATCTTACCCCAGTTGCAACTCTCTTTCTCTCCCAGGAACCTCACTAACAGAGTCCCTGTTGAAATGGTTTCATGGAGTGTGTGAAGTGTGAGAGGTGGGTACATGGCAGGGGTTCTGCAGTACATATGTGCTGTGTGGTGTGTTGTGGATGTGTGGTATGGCATGTATATATATAGTTTGTCAGTATCCACATGCATACTCTGTGTGTGATATGTGGTGTGTGTGTTTTATATTAGTGGTATGTATGTGAACTGTGTGGTATGTGACATTAAATCATGTGGTGTATTATTATGTATGTTTCATGTGTTCATATGTTGCATGTGTGTAGTATGTAATGTACATAGGTTTGAGCATTGGATAAGTGGTATGAGTATTGTACATGTGTATATGCATCTGTGGCATGTATGTGGTATGTGTATTGTGTATATGCAGACTATATGAGGCTTTTAGATGGTATATATGTAGTGCCAATATCTTGTATATGTATAGTATATACGTATGTATAGAATATTGGTTGTGTGCAATATATGTGCCTGATGTGTATTGTGTGTGGTGTATATGTATGGTATTTACACCATGCACATGTGTAATGTGTGATATATATATAATGCTGGCTGTGTATAATGTGTGTGCCTGGTGTGTGTTGTATGTGTTGTATATGTATATTATGTGTGCTATACAGACAACCTCTATGTATGTGCTACAAACAGTATCACACATACTGTGTGCACATATCCTGCAGTACATATGTGCTGGGTGGTATGTTGTGGATGTATAGTATGTGTGCTATACACACAACCTCTATGTATGTGCTACAAACAGTATCACACATACTCTGTGCACATATTCTGCAGTACATATGTGCTGGGTGGTGTGTTGCCATACCACACATCCACAACACAACACACAGCAAATATGTACTGCAGAATATGTGCACACAGTATGTGTGATACTATTTGTAGTACATACATAGAGGTTGTGTGTGTGTGTGTGTGTGTGTGTGTTGTGTGTGAGGGAAAGAGGTGGCCTTTTCTCTACATCCTTACCTGTGGCCTCCCCAGCCCCTGCTAGGTCAAGTGGAACACCTGGTAAGCCAGCTGCTGATGGTGCCCCTTCTCCCAAGCCCTGACTTTTTGGGGTTAGGAAATTCCCAGTCCTGTAGAGCAAAGTGGAGGCACAACCAGGGAAGGTCCTTCTGAGGTGTAATGCTTTACAAACTTCCTCTGGAAACATCAACCAAGATCCAGGGACAAGTCACCTGGTGATAGATGCCTCCCAACCCTCCCCCACCGGGGTCCCGGCTCAGAAAACATCCCCCAACTGAAAAGCAAAAGCAGACGCACAGAGCCTTGGCCTTCTTCTCTGAGAACACCCTCAAGCAGAAATCACCATCTCTGAAGGGCTCAAAGGTGGAGGGCACCACCAGGTACTGTCCTGGGGGGAGCCGGACCCGGCTGGACACTTCCCGTAGGTTCATGTAGGTGCTAGAGCAGGCCGAGGGCTGGTGGCCCAGGAAGAAGTCCCGGCCCAGGTGTGTGTCCGTGTGACTCTCCAGCTGCACAGAGCAATGGGCAGAATTGAAATTCTCCTTAGTTTGGTTGTACACTGCCAAGTTTCTCTCACTGTGTGAGAATCAGGATGCCTTCCATTCAGTTAATAAGCCAGCTCACCGTGCATCAAGCATCAAGTGAATTTGGGGGCACATTCTGAGTGCCAGGTCCAGTTTGAGGCTGTGACCTTGGCTACGTAACCTTGGCCAGACCCTCTGCTCTCTGAGTCTCCCCAACTAAATGGATGGTGGAGCCCAGGGTGTCTAGTGCAGGCTTTGCATATTTTCCTCGCAACCCTTTACTCTGCAGCTGTCTGTGTAAGAAGGTATTGCCTTTCCCAGTTCAGACTGAAGAAGGGAACTTGGACCCTGGTCTTCAAGCAAATTTCTCTACACGGTGACTAAAGTGACCAGGTTCTAAAAAAGACAACAGAGGAGGCAACCACAGATAAGCCTAGTTCTGGGTCCCTCCTAGTTTCCTGGGACATCATGGCTCTCCTTAGAAAGGGGAAGATATTCCCCTGTAACCTACAGATTTGTTGTGGAGGAGGGGGAAGCCACTACTGTGTGATACAGGCTAATTAGTAACTACAGAGTGCTTCGAAAACATAGGTGCCAGCATTTAGTGCTGTAATTAAGCCTCCCTGTTCCCGTGTATCTTTATGATCATATGATGCCGGTGACAGAGGTAGGTGCTTACAAGCTGCAAGAGCTGGACACCCCCCTGGAATGGTCAGTGTCCATGTATGTCATCAGCCTCTTCTTGGATCTCAGATCTGCTGGTCAAGGGAGGAAATCAGGACTACCTGTCCCCACTCTCAATACCTAGCTAGGACTTTCCCAGGACTTCCCAGAGAGCAACTAAGACAGCCACAATGCTTGGGATTCCCCCTGAAAACACTGACACTCTGGGCATAAGAATGCCGAGGGCATAGCAACAGGGCTATAAACAATACCCAAGTGCATGAGTTCAGTGTTGCTCTTGTCATCCCTGATGATGGCAAGAGGAGGAAAGAGCTGATCAGAAGAAGGTGCTTGGCAGAATGGAGATGGGAAGGTAACAGTAAATCTTGGTTTGGCTGAGAAAAAACCAAGCTGAGCTTCAGGAAGAATTCAAGAGTTGGCTACATCCCCGGCTGTGCCTGAGAACCTGAGATGGTGGCAGAGGCTGCAGTCTAGCAGAAACACCACTGCATAATTAGTGCAATTGACTCCCGTCCAAAGAGAACACTGGTTCTCAGCCATGGCTGCACGTTGGTGCCCAGAGGCTGTTATAAACCTATAATGCCTGTGTTCACCTGACCCCAAGATTCTTCTATAACTGAGCTTGGATGCAGCCTGGACACAGCTGAGCTGATCACCGGACTGGCACACATTGGCCTTGCTTTGTGCTGACTGTACCCACCCATTAGGCCATGCAGGTCTCCTCCCAGGAGCACTGCCAGGCTCCTCTCTTCAACCAGCTGAAGTGGATGATTAGGTGAGTAAGGGCCAGGAGGGCAGAGGGAAGCCCAGATACAAGTAGGACAGTGCTGATAGGATTCCCCGAGCCAGCTGTAAATTATAGAGGTGCACACGACCAACCAGACCAGATGCAGTTGGCACTTCCCTTTCTAATCAGAGATCAGGATGTTTATTTCTATTGGTCAGACAAGGAGGAACCAAAGTTTGCTATACTCACCTTGTTCAGTCCAGACTACCAGACATGCAGGGGCAAAGATCGCCCATGTTCCCTTCTCTAAGGGCCTGACAGATGGAACTTGAGCTTGTCTTTACTAGGGCTACCAGCTCACTGGATCATGTGAGGGTCTACAGGAGGGCCAATTTCCATCACAGGAAGAAGATGGTGCCAAGTGCCTATGCCAAAGGCAGGCATGCCCTTTCTTACCAAAGGAAGAACACCTCTGTCCACACAGTACTCACGTACCTCCTTGGGAATCTGCAGGACACAGGACAAGAACAGGTCACTGAGAGCCCAAGGTATTCCCTCTGTGCTTCCACATCCTTCCCCACACCTTAGTCAGACTGTGACCCACAGAATGGAAGTTCATACTAAAATGGGACCACAGTCAACATTTCTGAACCTGGGAAGTCATTGATGAATTCCAGGTCACCTGGGCAGTACTGAGTCCTAGCACTCTGGGAATGGAGGGAAGACTTACCTTTTATTTTCTAGTTATATGATCTGTCAGGATCCAAAATACTTAGAAAGTATTTGAGGCTTAAATGGGATCTGAGGTCTTCTTAAAGACTTCCCATCCTGGCCTTCCAGGTCAAGGAATAGGCCAGAGAGGAGATATTACTCAGCTTAAGCTGTAATTGATCCTGACCTTCGCCATGATGACCTCAGATGGGCCTATGGAGGACTCCTCCAGGATTTTAAAATTAGAGCTAAGGGAAGCTAGATGTGGAGAGAAGTAGTCCTGGTAGACTGAGTTCTTTGTCCCAAGTATCCTCTCTCCTTTGACTTGGTAACATGGGATGGTAAATTCTATCTCAACAGCTCAACTGGGGCTCTATCAGGCACAACTAGAGATGCTGAATATAGAGATGGGCTTTCAGACCTGGAAAGGGAGCCCTGCTGTGCTCAGTGCTCCTGTGCCATGTTAGAGAAGAGGACCCCAATCTAATCTCCTTTCTCCTTGTGTCCTGTCCCTCCTCTGCCCTTGTCATCTGGGCTGTCTGGATCAGAAAATCATGCTGGAGGCATGCTGAGGGGAAGTGAGGGCTGGCTGGCATCCTCTCAGCAGAGGTAGTGGTCCAGGGACACTGGCACGCCTCTAATTGAGTTTAAACCACAATCAGCCATGCAGAGACCTCCCCTCCTCTGGCAGGGGCTTTCCTAACCACCTTGGCTATCTTCCCATCCACAACCTGGCTACTCCTGGCAATATGCTCTGAGTCCACCCTGTCCAGTGTCCTCTGAGCCAGGCAGGAACAGTGTGGCAGCAGGGAAGACCCCAGCCACTGCCCACACAGGAATTGGAGGACAACTATCTGTGAAGTGCAGCATCCTGAGCGAATGACAGGCCTGGCCAGCAGGAGCCAGTCATTCCTACAGGAGAATAAAGGGGAGACAGCAGACCAGGAGACTCTTTAGCCTCAGGGGTTCCTGGCTGCTTCTCAACTGCCCACAGGCTTTTGACCTCAGGCTAGAGTCCAGTTTCAAAGAGTTAAAGCCAGAGAAGGGAAACACAGAGGTAGAATATATCCCCACTAGCCCAGCTGCTCCCCCACCTCAGCTGCTCCAAACACCCAATCTACTGCCAACGCTTCAGCTGTTCCCTGCAGCCCAGCTACTTCCAACACCTCAGCTGCTCCCCATAGCTCAGTCACTCCCCACACCCAGCTACTCCCTTCACCCCAGTTGCTCTCCATATCCCAGTTGTTCCCTATTCCCCAGATAGTCCCTATACTCCACCTGTTCCCCTCACTCCAGCTCAGTTTTCTCCCCAACTGCTTTCCACATGAATTCTCTTAATGTAACTTTAAAACTGATTCTGTTCATAGATGTCAAACCCTAAATTATATGCTTCTGGCCTGAAGAATGAGGACCACAGATCACACACCCTGGAGTATTTATAAGCAGCTATAATTTGATGCCTTAAAAACTGACATGCTGTATGTATTATTTATTGGAGCAACACCGTGTCACACAAAGCTATTAAGAAAGAGTGCTTTGTTGATCTGGCTGCATGAGGGAGGCCTGGTGAATGAAGAACCAATGTCACTGTCCCTGAATGGCCCACCCTGCAGTCGTGCCTGCCAACTGTGCTCTCTCTAAAACTGTCACTTAGTTTCATGCTGTCAAGAAGCACACGGAACCCCCTCTGGCTGCAGTGTTCTCCATATTTGAAATCTAGGTCATCTTTTGAAGCCCTGTTCAAAGTCTCCCCACATGAAACTGAGGACCCCCAACCCACTGTGGCGGTAACACCATCACAGACCCCTCCTGCCCCTCATCAACTGAGAGTGTCGAGTCTCCCAGATCATGAGCACCCTGAGGAAAGAAACTGCGTGATACTCCTGTGCCTCCAGCTCTCCCTCTGCACCTGGCACAGAGTTTGTTGCTCGGGAAACAAACTCGAGAAAGTTTATTGTATTGGAATGAGTACTCAAAGGGCTTTCTAGGGTATTATTATTATTATTCCTAGAAGCTTTGAGGGTGAGTTTGCAGTGGACTGGAAGAGCTAGGCTGGAGTAAAATTGGAGCTTATTTATTTGTAATCCTTTTTTCCTGCCATCAAGTAGTAGTTCTTTCCCAAGTTTCATTAAACATAATACACACACACACACACACACACACACACACACACACACACACACACTCCTCTAAAACCCCAAGCTTAAGAATATGATAACAGGGCTGAAGGAGGACTGAATGGGCTTGGAGATGAACTTTTCCTTATTGCAATATTTATTACAATGCCTCTTATTACAATGCTTATTTTATGTGCATTAATTTATACTGAGATGCTGGGCCTCCAGCAGCTCTTGGTATTCCTGATTAGAATTGTATTTTTACCAAGAAGTTCATTTGTAACAAAACCATACAAAAAAACCCATCCTGAGCTCCTGTGCAGTATGTTGTATGGAGTCTTTGCCTGTGTAGACTCCCGCGTGGTCCCTGGCTAGATTGTTGAGACTTGAGGACTCTCTTTACCATATCTGAGAGGCTAAGCCCACCTGTGGAGAGGGGTGGTCACCAGGAAAACCTGGCATCCTAAGTCAGGTTTAAAGCCCGAGACAAGAACCAATTATGCTCCACAATCCAGAGACTCCAGAACCAAAAATGGCCATACAGCTTCCCTCACCCCAGCCCATTCCCTGTGTGTTCCCTGTGTGTTCCAAGTACCTCAAGGTTGCCCACAGTCGGAAGAAAGCACTGCATATATTTATTTGGCTCCTATGATCAGCCACCTTCCTTCCCCACACTCAGAAATGCCCCTTACCACTCAAATGCCTTTCACCTTCATATTCTTGGCTCCTGTCCCCTGAGACACTTCTACTTGGAAAAGAGTCTAATATACACATTTACACTGAGCTCTCAATGCCAGGCAAAATGTAATGAACTGCATGTTGGTGTTAACAGCTCAGACTTCAGCCATAGAAATGAATCTCTAATTGTGGAATTCAGGCCTCAGTAAGACCACTGGGAGAGGAACTTAAGGGAGGAAAGGCAGCACTGCATTAAGATTTCGGAAATAGGAAAGATGCAATCCAACTACTGACCAAAATGTTCAGGGCAAAGGCATCAGTATTTCATGATGGAGGAACCCACTCAGCAGTACCTGGTATACGGCATAGCCAATGCTAAGCATGCCCTGGCCGATCCTTTTCTGTCGTCTTCGATTCTTCTGCATCAGACCCACCAGCACTGTACAGCGGGGTTCAGCGATGCCCTCCTCCTGGTCCTCATCCACTTCATCCAAGTGGATTTTGAACTGGGGATTGGTCCAGTAAGTGGCTGGAAGTCACCCAGATGATGGTGGTCCCCATGGGGTGGGGTGGTGTGGAGATGGAGAAGAATAAAATAAATGAAAGAGCCTCCATCATCCAACGAATGCACAATGCTGACCACACTGCCTAATAAGCAGACTGCCTGGTAAGAAGCATTCCTCCCTCCTCCCTACTCCACCCCCACAGATACTTATAAAGTTGTCTTGTCCATCTGATCAACCAGGAGCCCAAATCTGAGTGGGGAAATTGAGATCTTGTTATCCTGGTGATATCCTGGCTATACCAGAAAGCAACCTCCACTTTTTCTGGAAGTCGTTCATATCTTCCCGTTCTTGGCTGGAAACCCCTCTGAGGAGATGCATCTCTGAGATGTGTGAGGACAGGATCCCAGAACAGCTTAGCTACCAAGGAGGCCTCTGTCTGATATGCTAGAAAGCCATCTGATTGCCTTGTGCTCCACCCAATCCAGCTTCAGATCTCAACCCTATGAAACCCTGAAACCCTGAAACCCATCCTCTGTCCATCAGCCCAGGGACCTCCCATGATGAAGCTGACATTGTGAGACAGTAGCCCTTTAAGACAAATCATTTCATAATGCAAGAGGAGCCACAGTTGTCATGAAACATTCCTGTCACACCACTTATGGATACTTTAAAAAGACACCTTCTTGGGCTGGGGAGTGGCTCACTGTGCAAACATGAGGACCTGAGTTTGGAGCCCAGCACCCATGTCAAAATTTCAGGCATAGCTATTGTATGTGCTGTAATCCCAGAGCTGCTGGGGAGACGACAGGAGGATTTCTGGAGCTTGTTGGCTGCCAGCCTATCTCTAAGTTCAGTGAGAGATTCTATCTTAATGGAATAAGGCAGAGCAATGGATTAGGACATGTGACATCCTCCACATGTATGCATACACACACACACAGCTGCACCCATCCCCCCATCACCTTCATTCAAAGATGACTTTTGAAAACAAAAATCTCTCAAAATAGTAACTACCCAAGCTGGGCACAGAGAGGTCCAAAGGACCGTCCAAGGGTGGACCGCGATTCTGTGATGGAGCTGAGCTGGGAGTATAATTGAAGAAGACAGGCCTGACAGGCTTCACCATGTAGGGCCTCAATTCCAGCAAAGAATTGGGAAGGAATGCTTGTTTAAGAGGGAGGCTGGGCATTTTTACATCCTCTATATGAAGGCTCAACTCTATGAAACACCAATAGCACTCACAGATGATCAAAGACCATTCATTGCTTTTTTTCCCCCTAACAATGAGATTACTTATTCAGCTCCACCTTCCCAGAACATCCACTTCTAGAATCTTTTTTTACTTAAGGCACAAGTATATAGATTTTAAGACCAAGTGTCTGTGGATTCCAGGGGAGACAGAAAATTCAGTAATCGTCTGTACTTGCTTTGTTACCAAAGGCGAGAACAATCCATTCCTTCCTGACAGTTAGTCGGCAGCACAGATGGGATTATGATTTGGTGCATATAGATACCTGGGGCACCCCCTGTAGTTCTGAGTTCCCAGAATGATCCATGTGAATTTCCTATGTATTTTCTAAGAGCTTGCTAATGGTAAGCATATTTTAATTTCTCCCAAATGCAGCATTACTGCAAAGCCTACATTTTTTGTTTACTCCTTAACAGTACCAGAGGAAGAGAATGCACCATAAAAATAATACATCCCATTTGTATAATGCCGCACAGTTTACAAAGTGCTTCCCTGCGTAGTCCATGTTACAATGCTCACTGCAACCCAGTGGGTCAGAAGGCAGGAATTATGACCCACTGTGAGGACCGGAGAAGTGAAGCTCTGGGAAGGAAATGCCCCTCGGGTCTCATAACTGTTAAGCTGAGTGACAGAGGGCAAGCCGTCAGCTTCTCCTTCGGGCCTGTCAGCAGCTGGTCTCTGAAGCCAGATGTGGAACGATGGGGATGGAGGTGAGACCTTGTCAAGCCCCAGAGTGCACTCGCATGGGGTTTTACAATACTGCCATTTCTACAACACTGAGAACTGCCTTGAGCTCTGACTAGAAAGAAAGTGGCTGGCTCGGCCCCTGTGCATATACACTCTAGTCAATCAACATAAATCAACACAGCAACAGCAAACCAGGGAAGCATAGGGACAGGGAGGTGGCAGGCAGGGAGCAGGTTTTCCTTTCCTTCATTTCTCCCGAGAGATGTGAGGTTGTTTCTCAGTTGCTTCTTCAGCTGCTGCCTGTGGACTCGACCTAGGAGGAGCCTACACATGTACACATTAGTCATCTTGCAGGAACCTGGGAGGTCGCTCACCTTTAGCAAGTTCAGGACCCAGAGTCAGGCACAGGCATTAGTTCGCACAAGAATTTCCCACCAGGAAATTCCCACTGGAGCGCTGATGACCCCCATGACAAGAGGCATGACCCCATGCATAGCCTGCGTGTTGCTATCCCTGATCCCCACCATCCTGCCACTCCAGTTCTGACTCAGGATGCTAACACAAAGCAGAATGACGCCCTTCTGAGTGCAGTCTACTCAAACAGTAGACTGTCTTCTAATACCATTAACTACTCTGTCCCCAAGCTCAGTGGTATGGTGTCAGCCAGCTGGATCCAGTAGGGATGGCAGAAGCCCTAGAGAAGAACAGGAAGCCTTAGCATGGGTCCAAGAGCAGGGTGGTAAAGAGCAGCAATTTTGAGGGGACGGTGGGCAGTGAAGCAGAAATAACGTAAATACACAGAAGCTAAGATGAGGCCTCAGGTGGGCAGCTGCAAAACCACCACACACCCTTGCTGCCTTGGCCGCCAAGCCAGGGGAGAGGGCCAAAAATCCAAAGGCATTAATTATCCAAAGATTCACATAAGACGTCCTGAAGCTCAGAGAGGACAGGCCAGGTGGCCCTTTCCCTCACCTGGGTAGTTCTGGCATCCCCCAGCGGTGGAGCCCCGGGTCCAGCGGCCGTTGAACAGCACCAGGTTCCATTTGTGCAGTTCCTCACTGCTCAGAGAGTCTGGAGACAGGTTGCATATCTCCAGACGAGAGAACTGCTTCAAGAAATCTGAAAAGGACATCCTGGAGGACAGAGGAAGTTGAAGGTTGTGAGTGATATGGGCTGGGCTGGAAGAGTGGTGGAAGGCACAGGAAAGGGCCCTGGTTGTTGCCTCAGAGGCTACGGGCTGGCTGAATTCCTTCTACAGTCCAGTGATACAGATGGGCAGAGCCCACTGTTCAAATTCCTCCCTGTCATTAGCATCTCAGTCCCCAGAGAATCTCCCTCATGTACCAACCATGCAGAATTAGCACCATAAAGAAGAGGAACCCTGAGGGGAGGGTGTGAACATACCTCTAGGCTGGTTTAAATCTAAGCCCACCAGAGGCTCCTTCCCATGGAATTCTCAATAATCTCCAATGTGCAGATGTGCTCTGAGACATTCTATGTTCAAGATGTACTCTGTCTCATCTTCCATGGCACCCCACACCCAGACAAAGGAAAGTACCTGGACTGGTTAGTATTTATCAACTTGACACAAACTAGAATCACCTGGGAAAAGGGACCCTCAATTGAGGAATTTCCTCCATTGAATTGGCCTGTGGCCATGTCTGTGAAGCATTTTCTTAATTGCTAGTTGATATGGAAAAACCCAGTCTACTGTGGGTGGTGCCACCCCTAAGCATGTAGACCTGGGCTGCATTTAAGAAGTAGCTTAGCAAGCCAGTAAACAGGATTTTTTCCTCTGCCTCTTATTTTAGTTCTCCTCTGGGTTCCTGACTTAGTTTCCCTCAACTAAGGACTATAACTTGTAAGCTGAAATAAACACTTTCCTCTCCAAATTACTTTGGGTTGTGGTGTTTATCAGAGCAATTGAAAGAAAACTAAAATAGCATCCAGCTTTGATGGTAA